TACAGCACTCTACTAGATCTATACAAAGAATAATCAGAGCTTTATCACATTCATACACCAATGGGACAAACATCAGAGGCAATAAGGGGTTCAGTGTCTTGCCCAGGGACACTTTAGCATGTGACTGCTGGTGGAACCAAACCTCCAACTCTTGCATTGGAGAACGACTGCGCTAACCACTCAGCCACAGCTGCTCAATTTCAGTTTATTCAAAATAATTATTGAATCAAGTCTTTACTTATGTAGGTAAACATAGATGATTAACCTGTTAATATACACCAGAATGCAGGAAATGACATCTACTTTAATCAAAATTTCTGGGGGAGGGCCCCCAGATCCCCTCACCAGTGTGTCTCCCTCACATTACAAATGCTTTTGACACCAATGGCCACCACCCTGTTCAAGTCAAGAGCTATTGTCAACAACGGGGGCTGAGCACCCCTAGAGGTCAAATTCTAGAATCGCCCCTGGATAGAAGAGAGGTGTGCAGTTATATCCTTATTTGATGGTAAAATCAGCAACTCCTTGCACCTTTCAGACAACTTGATGTGTACAGCACTGTGCAAAAGTTTTACACCCCGCAGTGTTGTGTTTTAGTTTCCCAGGAGCTAGAATTTATTGTAATCTTTTAAAGTGGTCTTCATCAGTAAACCTTCAGACTTTCTGAAAGTCTTTCAAATATGTATTTTAGGACTTTTATATAATTTCTGTTCAAGTACTTGTGCCCAAAGACAGCATATTGTGAAGTTTGGGATTAAAAAAATGAAAAGTGGACAAAAAATGACATGTTAGACGCATAGCATATGTACAGAATCTAAAACTTGTGTCTTAGAAAAATAAGGGAATTAAATCCAGCAAAGATCTGAAACAGGGCCTGAGAGAAGTCTTTAGTACAGTGGTTCTCAACTGGTCTGGCTTCAAGTCTCTCCATCACCCCTTAATGACAAGGTGTGGCTCAAATAGAGGACAAATTTCAGCTTCTCACATTTATTAAATGAAAAGATGGTTGATGTTTGAACCTGAGATGGTAGAATAGAATATCACAGTACGCCAGAACAAAAATAAATAAATAAATAAGTAAAATACAAATTTAACGATACTCTAAAACAACCAGCAAATGGTCAAGTTAGAGAGAAATATTCCCTTTTAGCTCAACTGGCTGCATTTTGTACAAATGTATTTAAAACTCTTCACTTCAGTACCTTCAGCCTTTTTTTTTTTATCAGGCGTTCACGTTTAAACATTAAATAAAAAGTCAAATTATTGAG